TTTTTTTATAATACCCAACACAGTTGTTCCACCCCGGTAGCATTTTAAAGATGAGTGGCTTTCCCCCCCAAGAATCCTCCACACAGCCAGGCTGGCTGGGGAATTCTGGGAGTTGAAGTCCACTCATCTTAAAGTGGCCAAGATTGAGAAACACTGCTCTGTAGTATTACTAACAATGTTTTCTTCTTACAAATCCTGTTCTGCCTTCTGCCTTAAGTCCTCTCTCTTTGGAATTTCTTCTGCTTTTTTCCCCCCTTCTCTGTTAATGTAGAGTACTTGCACCTTTCCATGTTGTGCTTTGCTGGGCTTCTATACTTTTTTTTCCTCTGGACCCTCCACTCCCTTTGAAGGAAAAACACCTTCTTTTACTTGGTCGCTGTTTGCTGGCAGTTGCAAAGCTTCCAAAACACACATCTCCTCCCATACCTGTATTAAGGTTGCTGCTTTATTGGCAACTCTGCCATGCTGATGCTGAGGAAAAGGCTCAAATTGGGAGGGGAGGAAGGCAGCACAGGGGCCTGCAATTTTTCTAAGCAGCCTGTTCTTCCACAAGCTGAGTTTTCAATTAATTTAGTTCTCCACACCCTCTATATTACCAGTAACAACTTGCACATGGATAAAACACTCCCAAGAAGAAAGGCAAGGATATGATGTATGATAGCTCTTGTAGTGTTGTGTTTTACTAATATGCCTAAATATTGGCAAAACTAAAACCATCATCACAGAATGCTACATTATATGACAAGCCTGTGAAATGAAAATGGAGGTTAGCAAACCTGGTGGTCAACCACAATGAGGAACATTGCTTGGGATGAAGCTAGGGGAAATATGGTGCCATAGGAACTAGACAGCTAATCAGGTGCTGCCTGGATGCTGGACCATTTTGGGAATTTTTGGAATAGAAAAAACATCCAAGAAGGGTGTCCTACCCTATTGGGTCCCTCTAACCAACTTTTTAGACTGAAGAAGCTGCTTGAACAAGTAGCAAAACATCTCTAAGCAAAAAGAAAGGAAGTCCAGTTGCCATGACTCAACCTCCAGACATACCCTATCAAGCTGAGGATTTTGTAATCTAGGTATCTTAAAAACTGTAGTTATAGAAACTGGGGCACAGCTAGGCTGGGTGGGTGGGAGGGATTCTATAGCACATCCTGCTTCTTCTTTAAACCTGCAGAAATATTTTGTATTCCTCCCTCCATACAACTCCGAGGAAATGTATGTTTGAGTTGAATGCAAAGAGGGTGGCTTGGAACACCCAAAACTGGGTAAATGGGTATTAGATTGTAGCCTACAGATGGTTTGCACAACAAAGTTAGCCATGGTTAATGTATTCCATGATTATTAACCTAATCCATGGCTCTGTACCTTGCCACTCCTCTGCTCTTTGGCAATGTTCAGCTCTCATTTCAGTCTAGAATCAGTCTCCACAAAGTCTAAGGAGAGAAGGACAGAATAACCCAGGCATGTGCACTGGTGCACCCATGGAAGATTTATCAGGGCGCTGTCAGCTGTCACAGCCTCCCGTAAACAGGAAAGGCAGACAAATGAAAATACATAAAAGACAGGAAATGGCATTTTCCCATCCTTCTTGTCACTAACCCTCTGCCTTCTTTGACATGTCAACTGATTTGGGAGCATAGCTAAGCAAACCATTGTGAAATCAGGCGAAGTCATCCCTCATAAAGGGTTTTCTCGTGAAGCAATATCCCTGGGTCTTCCACTCCAATATGAAAGGCAGAATTTCTATAAACTTGGATGCTCTGCACTCAGTGAGTTAGACTCTGCTTGTAAAGGCAGAGTGTAAAGTGTCGTGTGCTACTACAGGGGCCTTAGAAATCATTTAGGCAAGGGGCAAACTCTTCATCTGCTGCTTGCAAAGTGGGGATAACTGCAGAATACCTGCCAAGTTGTTGCGATTATTATAGATAAGTCTATAGAAGTAATTACATCCTTGCGCTTGCTTGTTTCAACTCTCCATTTTATACAGAATATGATGCATAAATAAAATCTTCCACAACTTTCAGCCTCTCCAGTTCATTAATTTCTCACCCCACCACCTCCAAATTACATGTTGAAGAAACACCACAACCCCCCAACCTTTGTGCAATCTAAGCAGATCAGTGCATCACAATTTTCTCTAGCTGTGTTTGCCCAATGCACTTGTGGGTAACTTAATCATGGTTTACTCCATCAGTTCTCAAACATTTTGGTCTCAGGACTCCTTTACATTCTTAAAAATAATTGAGGGCCCCAAAGGTTTATGTAGGTATATACCTACTTCCTTACCTACTGCAATCCATCATATCATGATTGCTTTTGCAGTGTTTTATCATTGTAGACTAGGTTTCCCCAACCTGCCCCCCCTTCAGATATAGGGACTTCAACTTCCAGTTGCCAGTGCTGGAAATTCTGGGAGTGAAATTCTACTTACACAGATGATACCAGCTTGGAGAAGGCTTAAATATTGCATGAAAACGTTGTGTGCATTAGCAACAAATGTATGGGTTGGGGGGAAGAAAAATGCCAATTAACTAAAAGTTACAGCAACTGCTCTCAGACCCTCATGGAGCGTCAAGTCATGAGTTCGCTCCCTAGCTCACGGTATTGTAGATGCCATGCAATCTTACTCACCCTCCTGCAGTACAACATCCTTCAGCTTCTCCAGGCGCTCTGCAAAACAAGCCACTTCGGCGAGCAGCTGTGAAATGTCCTCTGGTTCTGCCAGGCTCCCTTCGCTGACTTCATTGGGACTATAGGCACTATGAGGCTTATGAGCTTTGGCAAGACCTCTGGGAATAGCAGGGGACAGGGGGAATCCTGCTGCGCTGGCATGGCGGCTGAGACTAGTGGGACGCTTCAGCGTAGCTACTGTGGCTGATGGACACAAATCCACCAGACTGGAAGTTGAGGCATCCAGGCCATCTCGTCTTGGAAGCTCCTGGAAGAAGAATCAAAACCATTTTGACGACTGAGGGGGTTGAAGGGAAGGACTGTTGGGGACTGCATCAAGGTTCTTTCTGAAAATGCAACCAAGCTGGGATTGCAAACGCATATTTGGTACGCTGTACTTTATTGGTGTGTGAGGCTACATGTGTGTATATCAATAAATCAATGAACAAAGAGAATCATGAGCAACTGTACCAGAGTTACATCATGACTATTTTATTGCTGTTTTATTAGTATCAATAAAAAGGAAGGGAAATAAACCAAAGGAATAGACTGCTGCAATAAACTGATTAACTTCCAGTACTGCAGTTAATTTTAGACGTTTTTCTAGGTAGACTTTCTGGGAGGTGAGCACCAAACCCAAAGACATAAGAACTCACAATGAAATTAATCTTATTTTCAAGAATCATTGCAAAAGAACTAGAACAAGGCCTGTATAAAAAGTAATGCACTTGTCATATTTTCCAGCTTTGGTTAGGCAGGGAGCCAAGAGGCTCTTACTTACTTGTTTTGAATATCTTAGGCAGTGCAACTAGTGGGGAAGATACTAACTCAAACTCAACTCTAGTTGAGGGGCCAAATCCCCTACAAACGTCCTCTGTAATTCTTTGACCTATTGCAAACCACTTTGATGAATGGTGCTTCCAGGATGAATGTAGAGAAGGGCCCAATACCTACCCCTCTTCTACTGACAGATGGGAGAAATAGCACTGTACTGTTGAACATTATTAAGACAACATTCTCATAACAGGTTAGATTACAGTAAAATGGGTCCGGCTCCATGGTGATCCATCATATTGTGAGAAAGCCAGCTATCATCCTAGCCATCACATGAAGCTATCGTAGCATTTTGGGAAGGCAAAGCATTTTACATCAATCAGCAGTTATGTTTTGTTAACACAGGTAGGGGGTTTAAGGAGTTGTGTGAACTCATCCCGAATCTGTATCATTTCAAATCCTAGCATTCATCCCAAGACTTCTGTTTTGATGTCCCAGAACAAGGAACAAATTCTTAGTTGGCTGTTGGTAGAAGGCTTCCTGTAAATTTTGGATTGTGAGTTTGCATGACTTTATGTAACAATGCTTCATTCAGTTGAGCAATTTGTGGGTTTTCATGACACATTGAACCATTCAATAACTACTTGAACTGGATATGCGCAACAGCTTTGGCTAAAAGATAATTGGCAAGTTTGTGGTTCAGGGCATTGTGTAAAGCCAGACTTTGTATAAATGAACAGACCTGGGAATTACTGTTATTAGTGTATTTTGAATTATTTTGTTTTGTTTTGCTAAAGATGGGGGCTTTGATTACTCCTAGGA